TATCTGATTTCAAATTAATTTTGCACCAAATGGGCAATACAAGTCCGAATTTAAAAGATACAAATGCTTTGGCATATTTAGTCCTTTGAATTTTAAATTATTATTCTAATCATAGCGTGTATGATTGAATTCTCCCATAAAAACTTTTAATTATTAAGTGGAGCTCAACTAAATTAGCAAAGTGGTGTAGGGTATCATAAAATCGGCCCCTCCCCACTTAAGGACTTTCTTTACTGGTTTTACTGTTAGCCTAATACCATAGCAAAGGCCTTGTGGGACGCAATCATACCCCAAACTAAACCGATTTCAATATAATTTGACTGAATTTATTTTTAGACCAAATTACGTCACGCCTTCCATATTTCATTGAAATTGGTGGAGTTTTTTATTAAATATACGAAATATACCGAAAATACATATTGGAGATATATCCAAATCTCAACCGATTTCAAATAATTTGGATTTTTTTGTACTAAATTCCGTCACTTCTGCCACACATTCTGAATTTCTTTTGAATCGGACATACATATCGTGTTTGGTGCATAAAATATAATTTGATAGATTTATGTACTAAATTCCGTCCCTTATTCCAAACAAGACAAATTCCATCACGCATTCCAAATTTGAAATGTGGCATACACAGCGTGTTTAATGCATCAAATAAAAAAATATATATGTGAGCTATATTCAAATCTGCACGGAAATCAATATAAATTGGCAAATTTATTTTTGTTCCAAATTCCATTACACATTCCAAATTCGGAGACTGTATCTGTAATCAATCAATAGATACGTTATAAAATCTAAAATTTTAACATATTCTTGATCAGCATAAAATTCTATGTCGATTTAGCGGTGCCCGTCTGCCTGTCTGTCCGTCCGTCTGTCTGTGGAAATCACTCTAGCAATTGATGTAGGTTGATAAAGTTTTACTCAGATGTGTGTTTGCTCTGCAGATCTATTGGTATTAAAATGGGCTATATAGGTCAACGTTTTTGTATAGCCCCTATAAGATTTTAGCGGCATTATTCGCCGGTATTGTTTAAAATTTCGTGATTGAAATTCCTAATGGGTACAACAAGCTACAACAGACAAGTAAAAAGCAGTAAGCTCGGCCTCGCCGAACTTTGAATACCCTCCACCATTTGGAACGAATTAGAAAATTTTCAAAAAAAAAAAAAAATAAAATCCATTGAAAATTCTGTTAAAATCTTTAAAAAACCTAATATCGGAAGGTGCCGATATATGGGGGATATACGATATTGTGGACTTATATAGACAAATCTATGTCTGGGGGTAACTTTGAATACCCTCTCTCAGGGGGTGAAGTACTCACAAGGAACTACTTGTGTTGATTTTAAGACAATTCCATTGAAAAGCGTGGCTAACATCATCAAAATACCGAATATCGGAGGTTACAGTTATATGGGGGATATACGATATCGTGGACCTATATAGACACTTCATTTTGAGGAGGTATAATGCCCACAAGGAACTCTTTGTGTGGATTTTCAGACAATTCCGTTGAAAAATGTGTGTAAAATCAGCAAAATACCGAATATCGGGGGGTACCGTTATATGAGGGCTATACGATATTGTGGACCTATATAGATAATTCTCTGCCGAGGTATAAAGTACCCACAAGGAACTCCTTGTGTGGATTTTCAGACAATTCCGTTCAGAAATGTGGGTAAAATCATCAAAATACCGAATATCGGGGGGTACCGTTACATGGGGGCTATACGATATCGTGGACCTATATGGACAATTCTCTGCCGAGGTATAAAGTACCCACAAAAAAATCCTTGTGTGGATTTTCAGACAATTGCGTTGAAAAATGTGGGTAAAATCTTCAAAATACCGAATATCGGGGGGTACCGTTACATGGGGGCTATACGATATCGTGGACCTATATAGATAATTCTCTGCCGAGGTATAAAGTACCCACAAGGAACTCCTTGTGTGGATTTTCAGACAATTCCGTTGAAAAATGTGGGTAAAATCATCAAAATACCGAATATCGGGGGGTACCGTTATATGAGGGCTATACGATATCGTGGACCGATATAGCCCATTTTCGAACTTGACCTGCCTGCAGACATAAGAGAGATCTGTGCAAAATTTTAGCTTCCTATCTTAATTCGTTTAGACTGTAGCGTGATTACAACAGACGGACAGGGCTAAATCGTCTTAGAATTTTACGCTGATCAAGAATATATATACTTTGTTGGGTCTAAAATGATTATTTCGATGAGTTACAAACGGAATGACAAAGTTAATATACCCTCCATACCTTTTTTGGTGGAGGGGTTTAAAAAAAATGGGGATAGGGTTCTATGGGAACTTTATCAAATTGTCATATTTTGGTAATCCAAGTCGCATTTACCCACGAAAATGTTTAAAATTTGGTATTTAAGAAGATTTGGTTGATGACAATCCTTGAAATATAAAATTATATATACCGTTTTGGTATGACCCCCATATAATGGCCACATACACCTTACGGTGTGTTTAGTTTAACAGCATTATCCAAACGGTGTTATTGGTATTTGTAGTTTAAAATGAAATACGTCCGAATTCAGATAGTTTTATAAAAAAATGTTTTCTTTACCCAATTGTGGAGTTCGGCCCGGCCGCACTTAATGTTTTTTTCTTGTTACACATAATGAAGCTACTCTAAAAAATAAGATCGATTAATTTTTTGGAGAGTCACACTGAGCCATCTTAAGCGTAAAATACTACTATCGACAAACCCTTCTCCTTGCCTTTGTTGTTTTATCGATCAACGTATAAACGATTCAACCTCTTCATTCTGCCTCAATGCAAGATGCAATTTTTCTAATGATATATATATATATATATATATATATATATATATATATATATATACTAGCTGGCCCGGTCCGCGTTGCCGGCCCGTAGTTTTAGTATTTAATGCAAATTTTGCATAGCATAATATTTTACAAATCTACCTCATAAAGGTGAACAAATTTTAATATAAATATTGATTCGACTAAGTGGAAATAAATAACTATGGAAGGAGGGCAAAATAATTTCTGAATAGTCAAAGTTAATTACGCTTTTACACCCATTACCATAGCACCTCAAATTGCGCATTAGAGTCCCCAAAAAGTCTATGTTCTTGTTCATGGTAAAATTCAATAACGATTAAACAATACCCGCGTTGTTATCCGCCAATCGGTAAACATCACTATAGATCGGCGGGCCTGGGGACTATATGGTGACTGTACCAAAATATTTACGTATGTTGACATTTTTCTGTAAGATGGTTCTCTACTCACAAAGTAGCCTAAATACAGCAAATAATGGCCAAATCAGTTGAAAAACGTGGCCAAGACCACGGTCACAGCTGAAATCAGGGATACATTTATATAAGGGTTATACCAAAACGTGGCCCAACCAATATTCTCTTGGGGTTACAAATTCAATAGAAAACAAAATTTTCTTTTCTGACCACCAATTAGATGTGAAAGTGGACTTGGGGATACTCCAATGTGGGGACTTTACTTAAATAAATTCCTATGTGGCAATTACCTGTATGATGGTTCCCTACCCCAGGGGCATAAATACAATTTTTAGCCAAATCAATTAATGAATGTGGTCAAGACCAAAATGGCCCCTACTCTGAAAATTTCAAACTTTATGCGAAGAGGTTCTCTACCTCCTTAGAAACAAAGATGCCAAATAATGGCCAAAATATTAAAAAAGTGACCAAGACACCAAAAATAGCTTAAATCATACGATGGTTATATAAATATGAAATCGGGTTGTACCCTTATACGTGAGTTATGATCATGACCTGCAAAAAAAATTATGATCATGACCTGCAAAAGCCATTTAAGGTATCTTGAATGTTTGGGAAGAATTTCTGGAAGGATAGAAATCCTTTTCTTACTAAGAATCCCATTCGCTCTACTATTTTCCACCCTTTATATTTGGTATTTTTCTGATTGTACATTGGACGGATTATTGTGACAGGAAATAAGTAGTTCCACGCTTTGAAATGAGCCCCATTAGGCTTTTTCAGTCATTTTTGTTTGTTTAAATGTGTTCGCATCTTCCAGCTGAACCACGATGAAGGCCCTGGAGTTGAAAGGTAGATGTCAGTTAACATCGTATTTCCCACTCATTTCATTTTTTTGTGAAAATTTGTATATAGTGAAAAATTATTCTTTATTTTGTTCACAAAAAAATTTACTGAATTCAATTGGATAATACAAATTGAAAAAAATGACAAAAGAAGAATAACACATTGAAAAAATCTTCAACTTGTTCGCTGATTTTTTACAGCAAATGTTTAAAGATCCTTATATAGTTTGTCAATAGAATGTACTTCTATTTTAAAATTCGATTCCATTAAATTATTTCGACATCATCTATTCCGTTTCGCCACCACATAATTTGGTACTACATTTCCATGTAACTCGCCATCAATTTCATTTCTCAAGAAATCAAGTCAATTAAATAATTTGGTATTAATATTTGAATTCAAAAATAAAAAATAAAAAACACTACAAATGTACATTAGAAAAAAGTAAGTCAAAATGGAAAAAAATCATGCAAAATAAAACATTACTATTGTACATTTCAAAAGTCAAAATGAAAATGTTAAAATATCACATTTTTACGCGATTTTTTTGGATATTATCCTTTTCGGAGAGGAGACAATTACGAATTTGTATGAATCGTTAAAATCAGTCCAGCGGTTCTTAAGTTATAAGCGTAGTAACTAACACAACTTTCTTTTATATATATAGATATATATATATATATATATATATATATATATATATATATATATATATATATATATATATATATATATATATATATATATATATATATATATATATATATATATATATATATATATATATATATATATATATATATATATGAAAATCGATTTTTGACATAAGTGAACAAGATAACTTTTCAATAAGTCTTAATAAAAAATTACAAATATTTCGACTAAAAAATATCATACATACTTAACACCAACAACGAAAAATATAGCCATTTGGAGAGCATTTTATATTCGGCCTTGCCAATGAATTACTTAGCATACAAATAATAATTTTTATAACGACCTTAACGAATTTCAATTACTTTACTATTATTTTACTTAGTTGGTTTCTTTTACAGTTACATATTTAATATTTATTAAGTTAGTTTTTGCTTTTTTTTTTGCACTTGTGCCCAGTGATAATAGTTTTCCAGTTGCGATTTTCGTATTAACAGCTTTCATAAACAAATAAAATAATTCCATAATAATTTTTCTTTGCTTCTTACAAAATAATTATTTTCTTTATATTAACATTTAAGCTTGTTAGTAGTTGGCAAACTACAATTGCTGCTATCGTCGTTCCATGCTGTACGTAGATGGCGAAGACGACAATAGGTGATGAGGATGTGAATGATGATGATGAGGTGGTGGCGGCTGGTGAGAAGGCAACAACAATGATGAATTATCATAGTTCAATTGAGTTGGAGGTCTTATTGAGCCAACCGGCGGCGATATTGATGACACTGCCACCCCTGTAGGTTGTGTATGATGGGGATGATGGTATGCTTGGTGGTTGGATGCTGCCGCCGCTGCTGCCACCGCTGAATTTGTTGTATAGTAAAAGTTTGTTGAATACTGTTGTAAGTTTTGAGGTAAAGTCAGGTGATAAGAATCTGAAAAAAAAAACGAAAGAAAAATTCCATTAATTACTTTATTCCAAGGGATAAAAAGTGCAGTCGATTGAATTATATTTGCCGTTAGCTGGAGTACCACCTGGTCCCAAAGCGAGAGCGAAAGAAAATAATTGTGGAATGTTGCCAAATGCCGGTCAGAGTTGGAAAGAAAGATAAGATAAATTAATTTTGATTAGTTATTATTACAATATATAAGGGTCATTGTAATGCAGACATAGAGATATTTTATATTGGTAATACTGAAGAGAGCTTTAAATTTAAAACAAATAAATAAATAACTAAAATGTCTTCTAAACTTTGATCTAAAATGTATTAATGCTTGCAATAACACCTATCTCAGAGTAGGAGAGGCGACGGAAGAAACGGGCCTATATCCCTCACCCCACTATCTGTTACAAATATTTTAACAAATGTAGTGTAATTTAGACCAGGCGTGCAAGGTGTTTTATAAGGCTGTCTTTTTTTAAATGTTACTATTATTATTTTATATTGGATGAACGAAATGTGTAACAATTTTGAAATTCCGAAGAAAAGATTTTTGGAAATTAGAAATTATTTCAAAAATGTTACTAAAATTCTGAAATGGTACCTTTGGTATAATGTGAAGAGATAGAGCAAAAAACTTGAAAATTGGTATAAGAATAAAGATAGAAAGGTGGTTTTGATGTATGATGGTGGCTTTGGAAATGTGTTATAAATGTGCGAACTGTACTAAACGGTACTGAATTTTGAACAGCTTGGTTTAAAGTGAACGGATAAAGTTGAAATTTTAAAAATTTCTATTGGGATACCTATTGGTGGTAGGTTTGTGATAAAGAGGTGGTTTTGGAAATGTGTACTACAGTTGCACGAAAAGTACTAAATCGTACTATATTCGTTACAATTTGGTTTTACGTGAACAAATAGGGCTTGAAATCTGAAATTTCGTGTTAGGGTCGCTGTTCATTTGTAGTCTGGACATACGGAGGTGGTTTCGCAAATGTGTACAATAATATTATTAAATTTCTTAATGGTATTATATTTGGGATAGAGATATGATTCTGAAATTTTATATTTAGATTAATTATGGTAATTTTGCTGGTTGAAGTGATAGGGCTGGAGTCCTGAAATGGTATCTTGAATTGATATATGGAGGTAATTTGGAAATGTGTACCAAAATTGCAGTAAAAGTACTAAATAAGAAATATAATATTGTGTGAAGGGATATAGGAGAAATCCTGAAATTTGATATGGAGGTCACTGTTGGTGTCTGGTGGGGGGTTTCAAGTGCGCACTATAATTGTTGGAAAAGTATTAAGTTGCGCTAAATTAGGTATTTGTTAAAGGGAGAGAGGTGGAGTCTCGAAATTTGATATTGAGGTCTCTGTTTGTATCTGGAATTTAGATATGAGGGTTATTTTGGAAATATTTACTATAATTGTTCTAAAAGTACTAAATAAAATTAAATTTGGTTCTGGGTGAAAGCTTAGAGAAGTTGGCGGTTTTGGAAATGCGTACCATAAGTTTAATAAATGGTACTAAATTTGGTAATGGGGGTAATTACAGAGCTAAACTCCTGAAATTTGATATCAAGGTAATTTTTGGTATCTAAAGTTATTATATGGAGATTGTTTTTAAAATGCGTACTTCAACTGTACGAAAAGAATTAATTTGGTATCCTGTATCTTTATGTGGACGTCACTGTTGGTGTAAAAGCTAAACATTTTCCTATTATTCTTTCCGATAAAGGAAAACTTGAATAATATTTAAGACTCTAAAAGTCTTAAAAATTAGTACGATGTATGAAGTTTTGATTAAAAATGTTTTTAAACTGAACAAATTGTGCATTTGGGGTACTAAAAAGGCCTAACACGACTTTTGGAACAAATCTAAAATTTTAAGGTGAACTTTCGCTGACTAAGTAGCAGGCACCATATCGGTATTCTACTTCTGATATTTAATACATTATTGAAATTCATTACAAATCCCTAAGGAGTAACCAATTTGAGAGAGAGAGAGAGAGATTTTGAGTGCCATTTTTAAACAGAAAGTTTTACTCAAAGATTTCGTGTTAAAACCGTCATCAATGTCAAAATTAGTTGTTCTTTGTGCAAAAAATGTATTGTCACTTTAAGCCGCATAATATAAACAGATCTTCGTAAGAAATTCTAGACTTCTTTACTGACTGTAATCTCAATATTATTTTGACCCATTATGTGAACTCAGGGGAAAACAATAGTTTATTTTTTTATATATCTGAGATTATCACCAACAATTCTTGGTGCATATTTTAGACGGAACCAGAACTCTATGCATAATATTTCAACGAAACACAATTGCGATCTGTATTTAATTTACAATTAATAGCAGACAAAAGGGCATACAAATTTAAGTCACTTTTTCTTATATTTGAGTACTAAACGACTATTTGTGTTTGAATTAAGAATTAAATCTTATTTAGCTCTTGAAAATTCTTTAACTATTTAAATAAAAATCGTAGGCCATGTATAGATATTTTAAATCCACATTTTATACACCCCCCATATTCGATCCAATCACAAATGAATTCATTCAAAATTTAATTTATTTCCAACAAATGACCATCATTGGCTATGGGAACATAAATCAAAAGCAACGAATAAATAAATTATCTGCAATTAATTGCCTAATTTCTGTGGTGAATCCTTTTGTATTAAAATCCTTTCGTTTAAGCTTATCCCAACCAATACTCTCGTTTTTATCAGCTCCTCTTATTAAAATCACCCCCCACAGACGTTGAGCTTATGTTAGCTTAGGCTAGGAAAATCAATAGCCCAACCCGGCCGCTGTTCAACGACCATCTACAAGAGAAGAAAGTGCAGATTGTGTGCGCTGCATTAATACAATCCCTGTTCTCTTCTCTCCCCCCAAAACATTGAGTTAACCAGCCACAACCCATAGCTATCATTACTTCACGTTTCATCAAATCACTGTGGGGCCGAAAACTGGATGGTCGACACTGATCCACCCCATCAATGAGATAATTGCTTAAGAAATTACTCACTTCATTAACCTCTTGACGGACATTTGATTATACGTAAAGTGATTGCAATTAGAATTGACTGAATGAAGGTGGTGTGTGTTGTCGTCCTCGTTAAGACCGACCGACCGAAAGATAAAGTTTTTGTTTGGTGGGGATTTTTTTCTTGCGCCTTTGATTCTCATTCAATTGGAAGATTTTTCAGATTCCTTAAGCGATTGCTTTTGTCGTTGGCGTTGTTTGTGTGTATTCTTATCGGTTGCTTGATAGATTGGCATTGTGACGTGATGGTGGCGGGGAGACTATGTATGTAAGTATGTGGAGTGCAATGCATTGGCATGAAGTTTTCTGATTGAAGTGGAAGGACAAATGCAAAAAACAGCTAAAACTTAGTCATTTGGAAAATTAAATGAATTAATTAAAACTCAATCAAGTATTTATTAAAGTTAAAAATTCAGATGGGATTTCAGGAGTTTGAGGAAGAAATTGATTTATCTTTGGATATAAAGTGTGATGAAAATTGTTGATGATGTTTTTCTTTGGAATGGGTGTAAAGAATAAATATGCCCTCCTCATATTTATTCTTTCTGATTTTGATTTAAATATGCGCCACCATAACAAGTGGGTATTCCTATGTTATCAATCCGTTTGTAACAACTTGAAATGTTCGTCGGAGAATCAATAAAGAAGTTATATTCTTTATCAACATATATATATATATATATATATATATATATATATATATATATATATATATATATATATATATATAATTTTTTTGTCAAATTACGCGAGAGAAGGGCACTATTATTTATTATTCTATATCTACATAGGCAATTTAAATTTTTGAAACGGGACTTGAAACGGGAGATATGGCATCAGAATCGGAGGTACCTCCAATAAGTTCAGATTTTGTATGCAGATAGATGCAACGTATAATTTCTTGTTTTGAATAAAAAAAAATATTGTTTACAACAAAGCTGGTCTATTATTTGGCAAAGTTCCCATAAGGTGGCTCTTTATTTCAGCGTTTTGAAAGGGTTTTTTCACAATTTAAAACTGAACGAGTCGTAATTTGATATATAGATACAATTTTTACTTTCAAAAAAGGTACTGTATAGATCCACTATTTGCTGCAGCTCTATATAATGTTACCTCCTGAGAATTTAGAAAGTTTTGACCAAAATTTTCAAACGCAAAAGAGGAATAAAAATGTTCCTTACCTTAATTATCAATATTGGTTCACGTTCGATAACAACAGGTATGAGTATTTTTGTGATTTGAAGGACTCGATATTATGAAACCTCAATAGGTAGAACACATTCTCGGACGTTCAGCATAAATTGGTTTATTTGAGTAAAACCAAGTTTTTTTTATGTTTTAACAAGTAAGCTTAAGTCGTGGGGGCCGACCATAATATGCGGTAAAGTTGCTGCAGATATGGAAGGTCTGGAATATGAAGATTCTCCTATGAAATATCCGCATATCTACTAATTAGCTTCTATTCTGACCCTAACCCTACCCCATCCAAAATTTCGTGAAGTTCGGACGATAATTGCGACCTTAATATTATGTCCCCAAGGCGAAAAATACAAAATGTATAATTCAATCTCGTACGTCAAATTTAAAAAATCGTATTCGATAAAAAATATGACAAAACAACTAAAGACACAGCTTAATACCCTCCACCATTTGGAAAGAACTTGAAAAAATGCAAAAACCTGCATAAGTATTTTTTTAGTAGTTGTTATTACAAACTTTGAATACGAAATTTGAAACAATTCCGGTGAATAATGTCGATAAATCATCAAAATACCGAAAATCGAGAGGAACTGTTATATGGGGCTACTATGGCTATACCTATGGGGGCTCATTTAGTGGCAAAATACACACGTGTGCAAAATTTTAGCCTTCTATTTCAATTCATTCGAAAGGTAGCGTGATTACGACTGACAGATGGACAGAAAATCAACGCTAAATC